TAGAATAATGTTAATGCATTTATTATATGTTTAACGTGATAATATACTTCCAATTCAATCAATGACGTTTTATGGAAAAATATTGATAAAATTTTCTAAACATTAAACAATAGCAGAAGTTCTTTTAAAGAACTTCTTCTCGGTTGTTACTGTGCATTTAAGAATCAAATATATTCAATTGCTGTTTTTTTTCTATCTATAAGATAAAAATTTTAACTGAGTTGAATAAGCCTGTGTGCAAAAATCTTTGGATTATGTTCAAGACCAATGCAAAAAACCTGAATGCATATGTTTTTATAATGCTTAAGGTACATAAAACTGATATTTTAATGCATTGTATATTTAGAAATTCAATTATATTTGAACTATTTTATTTATTTTTTTAAATAACAAAAACTAACAAAAACTAAAAAGAACGAAAGAGGATGTTATGATATTACAATCATATTACAATATCTTTCATTTGTATATTATTATTTTATTATTATATCAAATTATTTGGTATAAAAGTTTAAAATATATTGAGAAAACCAAGGGGAAAAAAAGGAGAATAACAACGGAGTACACAATGATAATCGTTACTAAAAATGGCGAATATTTTGTGATAACTCGTCAATTAAATAATTGATAAAGGTGGCTGATTACCACATGAGAGAATGCGAATTAAGAAAACAACGAAAGAAGATCAACAAGTGTTGAACCGAAAAGAAAAACAAAATTTGAGTTAAGGAATGATAATTCGTAGAATTATAGATTATTACCGTTATTACCATGTATTAAAACGAAACATACAGTATTAGAGAAAGATCATGATGAAATATATATATACATATATGAAATAAAAGTGGTGGTGCACCACAAAAAAGAAAAAAAAAGTTAATAGCCTAACCCATGCTTTCACTTGGAATAATAAGCGAGAAAAAATAAAAAGAAAAACATTAATCCGTGATTCAAATGAAAGTGGTATTAAAATGCCAGACTTTACTTTACAAATAAATTCTTTAAAAGTTTCATGGGCAAAACGACTGCTTAATGATGACGACGCAAAATGAAAATTTGTACCAATATTTTTTATTCGAACAATTTGCAAAGAAAGAATTTTATTTAACATGACATGCGTAAGACACATAAATATATATAATACATATGATATTCCTATCTTTTACAATCATATCATACATGAATGTATAAAATATAATAGGATCAATAAAAAAGAAATTAATACGTTTGAGGAAATTATCAACGAACAACTGTTTGGTAATTACTTAATTCAGCTGGGAAATAAATCGTTGTTCTACAAACACTGCTGGATTAATAACGGTATAATTTTCATTAAAGACATTGTATGTGATCAGAAGTTTATATCTTTAGAGGAATTATTGGTGAAATTATGGTGTAAATCAAATTGGCTAAGTGAATATTTATGTATATTAAAAGCTATACCAGATCAATGGAAACATATCATAAAGGTCACAAAGAATTGCAATTATGATATTGTCAACATTAACCAAAAATATGACGGCATTAAAACAAAAACTGTATATTCATGTTTTGTAAAGGAGGCTTTCATTCCACCTATTGGACAAACAAAATGGGAAGCTTATTTCTTTGATAATTATATTGATTGGAAGTCATGCTGATTACATAAAGTTTGTAAAATAAAAGATAAAACATTAGCGCAGTTTAACTATAAACTTTTACATAGAATATTACCAACTAACAAAAACCTATCTGTATGGAAAGTAAAAGAATCAGACAAATGTAATAAATGTAATCAGATTGAGGATGAAAATCACATGCTCTTTAGTTGTATAAGTATTAAACCCTTTTGGAGAAGAGTACGAAATATATTAAGAGCTGTTGGGTACACACATAGCCTGCCGTTCAAACATCTTGTAATTGGAACACAAAATGTATTAATTGACTTTATTTACACTTCGGCGGCTTTTACTATTTACAAAGAAAAGATTTTGTCAGAGTTAAACAAATCAAGATGTACCTCATTATATAGTTCTTTTAAATACAATGCATTGCTTAGAATTAAATTCGACATGTATAATAATGAACAAAAAGCTAAAGAAAAGTGGAAAGAGCTACAAAAAATATGGACTGTAACACTTAAAATGTATATGTAATACTTTTTGGGGGTTGTTGTATATGAGTGTGTATATAGATTTATTTGTGTTTGTGTGTTTTTATGTATATTTTTGTGTATAGGCCTATATGTATGTATTTATGTATTTGTACGTATATGTATGAGTTTTTGTAATTGTGTATGTATGTGTGTGTATGGTTGCATCGGTTTGTGTGTGTTTGTTTATATGTATGTGTGTATTTATATGTATATAGGCCTGTATGTGTATATGATACATATATATATATATATATATATATATATATATATGTATATATTTGTGTGTGTGTGTTTGTGTGTTGGTATGTTTTGGGTTGTATGTATATGTATGTGTTTATGTATGTTTATGTGTATATGTGCGTATATGTGTGTGTGTATATATATATATATTATATATATATATATTTATATATGTATGTGTGTATATGTGTATGTGTATGTGTGTATGTATATATGTATGTGTGTGTATGGGTGTGTATTTATTTATGTATATATTAATGTATGGATGTTTAAATGTATGTGTATTTAATTTGCAGTCTTTATAAATAATTATGTATAAAGAAAGATTAGATATAGTAATGTGAGTAAAGAAAGAAGGTAATAAGACCTAATGCTGTTTGTTAAATGTATTGTATAAAGTATGTATATAAAAGGAGGAAAAAATATTGAAAATAAATGAAAAAAGACAATAAAAGTGGGTTACCCCACAAAAGACAAAAAAAAAAGTAATAGAGTAATAAGCATATACTCATATTATTATAACGATTGTCATTAAAATCATAATATTAGTAAGTATGATTATTACAGTTATTTTAATTAGCAATTAGTAGAACTCCGCATAGTACACTGTAGGAAAATTATCATACGAAGGTTATATTCAATGCTTAAAAAAATTCCTGATGAAATTTTTGAATTCATTTAATCTAACATAAGTATAATAATTTTCTGTTACTGTACGATGCATACTCTACTAATTGCTTTATAAGTCAATCGTCGTCTTTTAATTTTAGTTTTTGATTACCAACTGTTGTAGCACTCATCGGTTGCTATAGTGATATGATCAGTATACTGTGCAGTATATTGTGTGCGTATTTACACTTCTGTGAGTGTGTTGATTTGTACTCCTGCAGTACGTACGCGTTAACTACATTTCAGCAGTGCCGTACAGTTACGATGAATAACAATTGTATGTAATTTGTATTGTGTTAAAAAGAACTTGCTTGTAATGCTTTTTTGATACATTCGTCAAAGAAATAAAAATTTCTTAAAGCATTCGAGAAAGAATACATTCACTGACTTTTTGGTAAAAATCGTGCGATGATATCATAACTGTGCTAGGCTACGGCCTACTCTATTAATATTTTAAAGTCCTCGGCGGCGGCCTCCCACTTGGCTGTAGTCCGGCCTACATCCAGTATCGTTCCTTGAGTCTTTAATACGGTGTAGAATATTCCTAATAAACGTTCAGTTTGGTTAGTTTAATAAAGTTCATTGATTCAATAACTTTTTTAACTGTTCATACTTAATATTAAATTTAAAGTTACTTTGTTCGGGTTCTAATTAACCTTGTTTTATTGCGAAAGTAATTTTCAATTACAATTCAATTTTTATCGCGGTGCAAGAAATATTTGCGGTGACGAAAATATTTTTTTTTTGTTTTTTTTTTTGCACACGAATCTAAAACAAATCAAGCCAAACATGCATTAATGGCATCCACTCATCCATCCATCCATCCATACATCCATCCATCCATCCATCCATCCATCCATTCATCCATCCATCCATCCATCCATTCATCCATCCATCCATCTATCTATCCCATCCCGTCCCATCCCATCCCATCCCATCCTATATCTGTCTGTCTGTCTAGAAGATTTTGGTTAAGAAATATAAATAAAACAAAGAAAAGGCACAATAAAAATACCTTGCTTGCCTTGACAGTTCACCACTCATTTAATATCGTGTTGAGCACGGGTGTATGCTAGTTCAGAAAATGTGTAGCCTCAATCAAGATTTATTGTTAGAGTATTAAAAAATGTCACCCGCGGTTTATAATCGGTTTATAATACTTAATAAACGGTAGTATTGTTTTTAACTAAAACCATCTTAGAGCACGGGTGTATGCGAGTTCCAGTCAAGTCGCCCCCCCCCCCCAGTAAAGTTGCCCCCCCCCCCTTGTAAAGTCGCCCTCCCCTCTACAAAGTCGCCCCCTAACCATGTCGCTCCCTAACCAAGTCCCCTTGACCAATATTGATTATTTGGCCAAAAAAATAATTGTTGGTTTGCCCTTCTTTTTTTTTTTAAGTTTGGAAAATAAACGCTAAGGCCTATAATGTATAATCGTGTTCGAAGGTTAATAATAATCGATATTCGTCAAGGGGCGACTTTGTTAAGTGGTTATTTTCTTAAGGGGAGGGGGAGACTTGGTTAGGGGCGACTTGGTTGGGGGGTGGGGCGACTTAGTTAGGGGCGACTTGGTTAAGGGGCGATTTACCATTAGAGTATTAGGAAATGTCACCCAATTCTGTATTAAAACATAGTCTATTTTACCAAATTGATATAAGATTTTATCTATACAGGATAACACATTTTAACAGGAACCTTATTATGATTCCACGACTTGATTTGGAAATAGACGGTTTATAATACTTAAAGAACTTCAATATCTACTTAAAGCCAAATCAGTAACGTATTCTGCAAAATAATTCAAAAAAGAGTGTGAGTCGAAACTGAACGACACAAATTATTTCAGTCACTTTACCGAAGAAAATAGAAAGTAACAGCAAGTCTTGATCATGTGTATAATTTTGTTATAACATTATTTATCAATAGACCTACATGTTTTTGTTGCATATTGTTTTTATAGGTACTGGAATCAGCGGCGGTTGCTCCGACAGCAATACGAACAGCTACAAAACGAGGGCCCTCCACCAATTGACGGTGTGCAGGTTCGATATGACGCGTTCGTCTCTTACAACAGCAAGGACCGTGATTGGGTACTTAAAACAGCCTTACCCATATTAGAAGGGCCCGAGTTCAACTTCCGTCTTTGCGTCGACTTCCGAGATTTCATAGTAGGCGGAGCAATCACCGACAATATTTCTGATGCTATTAAGTATAGTCGTAAAATGTTAGTAGTTGTCACTGAGAACTTTGCTAAGAGCGAATGGTGTTACTTTGAAATGGAAATGGCAAGGACCCGAATGTTTGACAATCACGAGGACATTTTAGTGGTTGTAATATTAGAGCATGTAGCGAGTAGAAATATGCCGACATTACTGCAGAAAATATTGAGGAAGAAGACATACATTGAATGGACTCAAAGTCCAGATGGTCAGAAAGTGTTTTGGACAAGATTGGCGACAGCATTAAATACACCGAATGCTCACCACGATCGTCTTATAAACTAAGGCAAACATTACAAGTTTGAAAATATTTGTCAGCAAAGTACTCCAAACAGATGAATCAATACATTGATCAACGGTGATAAGTTTTAGTTATATTATTTGAAATATTTCTTTTTTCTTTTTTTTCTTTTATTAATATTTCAAGAGGAAATGTCCCACACAGCAAAGCTGATTATTAGGGGAGTCCTCATCACAACAAACAAGTTACAAAAGAGACACAAAGCAGAGCAAACAGCAAAAACAGCACATTCATAAATATTTTTTTTTAAAAGCCAATAAATATGTTATATTTTTTTTAATAGAATAAAAAATATTTAGGAGCTATAAAATGGTAAAAAAATCATTCAAATCTGACATTTCCTTATGAAGTTACAAGCATTTAAGCATACAGCTGTTTAAAGAACAATATATGAGAAACCAGCCTTCAAAGTTTATGATTTAAGGCATTTCTCATGCAGAAACTATTACAAAATCATTAAAAAGTGTTGTTTTAACATTGTAATTGGGAAAAATAACAGCACAGCATGATGTATAGATACATAAACCTTAGTTTAGTGAAATAAAATAGATTTTTAAAAACTTTACATTGTAGCATGTTTTTGCTATTTTCTCTGAAACACAATTTGCAACGAGTGACTGGTTTAGCTTGTCTTTGCCACAAATGTTTTCTTCCAGAGTCTGACTTTAAAAGTTTGTTCTTATTTATATTAAAAGCTACCTTAAATTAAAGAAAGAAAATATATGACGCCTGTTATTATGAAACATAGGCTACACCGTCGGTTAACTCAAATACAAAGTTTCATATATAAGTAGGTATATATTTATATAATTAATGTTTTATTTGATTGCAAAATAATTTGATGTCAGACACTTAATGATTTAGGAGTATGGTGTTGCCTGCCTTTGTCTGAGGCAGTGAAGAAAAATGTATGCTTAGCTGTTTATTAGGGTAGGTCAGAATACGTTGATATGATTGATAGGCGGATTTTGTTTATATTTATATGTTCATATTATGCACAACGGGCGTATACATTTAGTATTTTTTGCGTGAATGGAGGTTGTGACTGATTGAAGATATTGTGAAAAGGGATTTCCTTTCGTAGCCATGTCGTATTTACCTGTATAAATTATTATTGTTTTTATAAATAAAATGTTTACATCAAAAGACTGACTGTTATGTTATCATCATTGTAGTATTTGGAAGATTTATCAAATAAATTAGATATGATACAATATGTAATAACATTGGATCAATGATTGACTTCGTCATCGAAGTAATATGTTACAAAACCTTCCACCGTTTGGTGACGTTGAAAGTTTCAAAACGCTGTAGCATCTGCTGATTGGTCACAATACATCTAGTCTCAAAACCTGGAGAGAGTGTACGTTTGGCATTGCATTCTAAATGTTTTAAACCACGAAAAAATGATATGTAGGCATATCTGTGGCGGATTCTGGAATTTAAATTGAGGGAGCTCATGGAGGCCTTCCATACCTCCTCAGCCCCACCATGGATAGGGCTGAGGTAAGACGAGTTATGATTATGGCACCTCCTGTTTCCAGCAATAGCACTTTCAAAATTTCAATATATTTTTCTTTTTATCTCCATTTAAAATAAAATTAGGAAAAACTTAGGAGAGCCCAGACCATGGAAGCATAAAATAGCCTTTCAATTCTAATACGTCACTTAATATAATATGATATTATGTTCCACAATTGTCCGCGACATAATTATGTCCCTATGAGTAGGGGCCCCGAGGCCCCCTAAGGGTCGGGGACCTTGCGGAACGCCGTACGCGAGCGCATAGGCGTCACGCCAATGCGGATGTAAAATGTTCTCGTGCAAGCACTGATAGTTGTATTGCGAATTTGTTGTGAGAGACAGATTGCTAAATTAAAAAGCCAGTAGCCAGAATAACGCTGGAGGTTCAGGGGTGGTGCTCCTGCGATCTGGACATTATTAATTCTATTTCAATTACATGTAAGTGACTGTGAGAAGGTGTTTTTAATTGAAATGAATTTGAATTGGCAAAGCTATGAATTCCCAATCTAAGTGAACCCCAAACCCAACTCCCCCTCCCACCAAAGTATATTTAATGTATTTCATTGGAGATTCAATAATACAAATACATAAGAATTTAAGTGAAAAAAATGAGGATAATATAAATGAGTCTGTGAATAGTGTACATAAGGATAAGTCCAAAATTTTTTGGACGTGTAGAAAGTGGTTTCCATTTAAGTCGTTCTACCCTTAATGGTTACACTGCTGCTTGTTTGTAGTCTCTTGTGACAAACTGGGCAACTTGTATATTATCAATTCGGATGATGTCCTGTTAGAGATGTGGAGCTCAAGTTGTATCACAATATTTGAGTTTTGACCTTACTTAGGGAAGTGTATGCCTTTTCATTGTATTTTTACGGGTCTGTTGATAAACTATTAATATTGGTATTATCATCGTCGTTTTTACAAATTGTTTTATTATTAAATACTATTATTATTATCATCATCATTATTTTAATTATTGTAGAATACTGTAGTTATAAAGCATATTTATTGTATATCATTGGAGATTCAATAATACAAGTTAATAAAAATTAATTTAAAAAAAAATAAACAGAATAATCTGATCTGATAGGTATGCATTTTTGATTTTTTTTTTTTGAGTCATTTATTGTTTGTGGGGAAATTGAATTTGCGTATATGTATGTCTTGGCACGTATCTTTCTGATTTTTTGAGCTGAGGATGACCTAGTGGGACTAGTAAGGAATTTTATGTCAGATAACGTAATGAAAACGTGTCTGTGAATAGTATTGTGGAAGAGCGAGTAAATGTGTTGACCTCTTTTTTGGCGCGTAGGTACAGTACCACGGAGTATTATATCGAGGTATGTAATTAAGCTGTCTGAATCTTACGTAACACTGTATGCGCGTAATGATATTGTTTGTCTGGGTATTTATAGTGGTCTTCACGTGGTTACTGCCTGTTGAACACTTCCATCGTTATTGTACGGTTTGTGGGCTGAGCAACGTAAGCTCATTGAATAAGTTTACAGGTATGTTAATGATCATTGTATTTTGCTAATAGTAACTTTATATTGACCTTGTGATATCTGATTGATAATGTGAATGATTTGTAATGGATTCGAGTATGGTAGCCTAATATATTAGGTAGTATTACTAGAGGTTGTGAGAAAGGTATTAATGGTGTGATGGCATAGGTATGCATGCCATAGAGGTACAGCTGTGTGAATGCTGTATGAGTATATCTTTGGACTCGTTTCTTATTTATCTTTACATTATTAATTAATTCCTTCCTAGATTACTATAATTGATGTGTAGCGATGGTTGTGTTCTTCCAAAGCTAGTTTGTTGTTTAAATCCAGGTATACACGCACTTGTTTATCTAAGTATTGATGTAGTGATGGTTGGGTAATATTGTAATGATTAGAGATGTAATCGTATCATGTAGTAATGATGTACATTGAGTATATTGATGTGAAAATATAATACAATAATGATGTATAGATATTAACTGTAATCTCGATGTTACAGGGTTTTTTTTATATGGACTCAATGTGTACGGTACACATTGACATTGATTTGAATCCAACACTTGACGATTAAAAGAACCTGGTAACTTTCATGGTAGTCGGTGTCTTCTTCCTTCTTTGTGAGCTTAAAACTACCACAGATTTTGGTGTCAGAAGTGGGATAGTCGTTGGAATCCTACTGATTCATCGTATTGGAGAAAATCATGTGTGAAGTTAACATTGACATGGACACGCTTCGACGCTGATGTCAGGATAGCCGGTTTGAAAGCCCTTGGATTCACGGTTGGATTTAATCATGTTGTGTACATATATGTATTCATGCATTGAAATATGAATCAAGCTGTTCCTAGGAATCAAACTTCAAAATCTGTTGCAAAAGTGCTTCGTGATAATTGGTTTACGCATTATGGTATTCCCCATCGCATTCATTCGGATCAGGGTCGAGATTTTGAGAGTGTGTTGATTAAAGAACTTTGTGCCTTGTATAATATTCAAAAGACGAGAACAAGTCCTTATAGGCCATGTGGTAATGGACAAGTCGAACGATTTAATTCTACTCTATGTAAAATGATTCGGTCTTTGGAGTTAGGAAAGAGAAAGAATTGGCCAGAGTTATTATTCCATTTGGTATACATGTACAATACTACCACCCATAGAATTACCAATTATTCCCCATTTAGATTAATGCATGGCCGTGAACCTACAATCCTTATCGATCAAATTTCTATTAGTCATAATATAGGTAACTGGGAACATGACTTTATCAAAGAGCAAGCTATGGACATATGGATACCGTGAATGATATGGCAATTCGGAACATTGAAAAGGCACACGAAATTAGTGAAAGATTACAATCCGGTAACAAGATAGCTGACACCTTATGCATTGGGGATAGGGTCTTGTTAAAACGTATGGCGTATGATGGTAGACATAAACTTGTGGACAAATACTATAGTGATCAGTACGTAATTGTAAATGTTAACAAACAGGGTGATGTCTACGACATAAAACCATCCATGGGGGGGGGGGTGCAACTAGGACGGTTAACCGTGCGTTAATAATTCGTGATCCTAGAGATGATTTGTGTGATCCTCCTGCATTCTGGCCGAATGTTGATGAAGTGAGTGAGGCAAGTGGTTGTACAATGATCCCTGTAGAATCGGAAGAAAGTGAGAGTATTAGTAGTAGTGATGAAGATGTTGATCTGGTCTCTTTACCTCTACCAATCTTGCCTACTCCCACTGTTAGGCGATCTTCACGGGTTAATAAAGGAAACCATAGTAATCCTCATCATCTCCCTCGATATATGCTGAGATAAGGTTATCCATGGTTGGTTATTCCATAATTCTGTATTTATAATATTGTATTATGGTTACGATTGATAATGATTATGTGTAAGTGTATAAGTTTTGTAATGATGTTCGGTTGTTCTTGCACTTGTAACTTGAAATTATGATTGTATTATTATTGATAAAACAAAATTTAAAAAAAAAACAAATAAAAAATTTAAAAATGTTTATATATTGTGCATATAGTCTTTGGGGACAAAGATTTGTCTGTCAGGATGGATTGTGGAAGAGGGAGTAAATGTGTTGATCTCTTTCTTAAAACTACCACAGTATACATAAGGATAAGTCTAAAATGTTTGGGACGTGTAGGAAGTGGTTTCCATTTAAGAAGTTCTATCCTGTTTTGTAGTCGCTGGTGACAAACTTGGCAACTCGTCGTACACTATCAATTTGGATGATGTCCTGTGGAAGATGTGGATCTCAGCTGTACACAGTACTTGAGTTTGGACCTTACTTACGGCAGCGTATGCTATTTCATTTGATTTTCCTGATTTTCCTGTCAGCCAGATATCATCTGCTGTGACGTTACGGCTAGTTGTTATTACAGCCGCTGTATGGGTGGAGTGATACAGCTTGCCTAGCCTGACGTTACCATAGCAGGATTCTTTCGAGTGGTGGTGGTACCTGGCCTACCAGAGTTGATAAGATCTTCATAAACGTGGGACAGTTGGACGTGCGCCCCTTCTTCTCTGTTCATGTTTTGATTTTGAGATGTTCTTATTAAGTGCTTCTTTGATTTCCTGTGTTTCTTTTTCAAGGATCTTAAAGTTTCCACAGTCAGGGATGTGGGTGTTTTTTACCATATGATCAGTGATTGCAGATTTGTTGATTTCTGTTGCTGATGATTGTTCTCTTGTTTGGATTCTCCCTGTATTGTCAGTTACATCTTTAATATGTTCTTTTAATCTGGTAGTAAGGCATCTTCCTGTTCCGCCAATGTATACTTTGTTTTACAGCTTTTGCAACCTACTTGGTAAATGACACCACAGTACCCCTAATCTTATGTAGTCGTTTGAAATATGTTCCAACTTCGTGTGTTTTAAATGTCCTGATTTTTTTTGCGACAATTCTTGCACATAATGGTATCGCAACATTTCCTTTTGCTTTTTAGAGTCTTTGGATTTTCCTTTTGTTGGTGTTTCTTGATGTTGTGTTTTTGTATGTTTTCTATATTTTTTATTTCTTCTGCTTTTTGGAAGATACGAAGCTTTCGCATTTATGAACTAGTGTCAGAACAACACTTGGACTGGAAATGTAAATATTGGTTTGTGTGTGGGCTGTGTGATAAGGACATCTAAAAATGGTATTGAGTTGTTATTCACTTCTTCGAATGTGAATATAATATTTTCTGTTGCACCAAAGCTGTTAGATGAACCGTCCTGTCAAAGGTAAAAATACTGGTTTATTTTATAATTTTTCGATTTTGTATTTCTGTTTGTCAGTGTATTTAAGGTGTTTTTATCGAAGAAATAAATGATAATGATATTAATAAACAATCACTTTTATATTATTTGTTATCAGATCTCTGTGTGAAGGCAATTGCACTTTCATTTTAAACAATTTATAGTCTTCATTATACACACAATATTTGAAAGACAAAGTGAGAACAGACTCGGAAATTCAACGATCAACCATGTTTAATTTCAGTTTAAACATTTCTAACCTACAGATTGACGTTCATGTTTTTACTACAGATGCAAAGATGCCATATCATTTGGATATCTTAACGTCATTGTTGTAATTCAATTACTTTTCGGTAAGCAGTGATCTTGAAGTTGCGTTGATTTTTGTGCTAAAATATTTTATCTGTGTGTTACCATTAAATATTGAAACAACAAGTTACACAATACAATATTGGATGTATTTAAAACTCCGTACAAAGGTAACAAAATACGTTGTGTTGCCTTCTGCGACGCCCGAAATTTAAAAAAATTGGACTATAGATGCAAGCCAATAATTGTTAAAAAATAGGAGGCATAGTTTTGGAAACCGAGCGCTCCACGTTACATGCACGCAAATCAGATCGCTCGAGGCCTAAACTACCTTAATCTACTATTACGTAAGCCATTTTTACTATACACTACTAGTACTACGCGTGGTCGTCGAAATCAAAGATGATAATATTTACGGTATATTAGAAATATAATTTTAAAAATAGACTTAGGCATAGCCATCCCTTAGGAAAGTGTTTTAAGGTAATGAAGAGAAATTGTATTCACAAAAAGTCGAGCCTCAACATTTATTAAGACCTGTGGTGATCGTCTAGCCAGGCTAGGCCCAGTTCTCTGCAACATAAAAACAGCCATATTTTATGACTAAAATCGACCTCTTAAGTGTACTATTTTCACGCTCAGAGAAGCCAAGGTAAATAAAATTTTAAGGTATATGATTCATTGAAATTCAAACTTTTAAGCCGGCATGTTACTAAAAATGCAGGAAAATAATTTAATTTAATATATACTTGGTTAGTATATATTTTTGGTTAGGCTTGCTACCGTTTTATTGGCATATCTATGAGCTACTTTTTAGGCCCAAATAAACTAGATAGTACAACCGATCTTAGGAGGGATTTAGACAGCAGTTCGAGGTTTATCATATATAATCACCGACGGTGATTTCGATTTTTTTTCCCATTTTCCAACACAACAATTTTGTTTGACCTAAAAAATACATAAAATGTGTACAATTGCATTATTGGATAATGATTAAGCACTGTTTTAAATTCACTTTGTAAGCATTAGACCTTACGAGGAAATTAAAAAATGCTTATAATATTGACAGGGAATGACAAATGATTGTTTACCGTGGGTGGGGTGGTGGCGGTGACCACCAGTGGTTGAAGGAACCAGTTGAAGGTGTTCACTTCTGAATTTATTTTATTGGAAAAGGTAGAGTAACACGCAGCCCCGAATTTTAGTCATTTGAGTCTCCTATGTAAGGAATGTCATGATTGATTAGGCATTTTTGCTGCTGCCGTTAGTCGGGAGAGGGTGTATTTGTGCAACCTTTGCGACCACCACCAACTTATGCAAGCACAATTTTGATATTATTTCTATGAATAGGCAATATTGATGAAAAATGTTATGTCAAAATGACATTAATGTTTTGAGATACATAACACACACTTGTCTACCTAATACACTATTGAGACCTATTACAAAATCTACTGTGTAATAATGACTTTTTTGAAATGTTTTCAAACATATTACAATCCATTAAACATTAAGCATCGATCGAAGCTCTTCATGACAGAATTATGCATAAAACCAATACACATTTACTAGTTTACTACAATAAATAACACTAAAATAATAATTTATTTCCACAATTTCTTAAATATCGTCTGAGCATGTTTTGAAATCACTTTCTTTTTTACTACATGATCTTTAACTACAACGACACGAATATTAATAGAGCAACATGAATGCACAAGAGAACACGCCACTAAAATTTGATCATCAATGCATGTTTTTGACCAAATTTCTTTGTCACAACAAACGATCAATATAAATATATATATGAAAAAGCCCCAAAATGTTGAGACAATTATTCCTTAGACATCATTTAAAAATGTTTTCGGAATCACGTTTTTTGTTACTACAACGATAAAGTACAAGAGAGCAACATGAATGTATATTACGCCTCAAAATGTTGGGACAATTCCGTAACCATCATCTGTGCATGTTTCGAAATCACGTTGTTTGTTACTATAATCTTAACTACAACGTTAAACTACAAAAACAGTACTAAAGCAATATTAAATGTATGTTGAGAATAACACACATCAAAATGTTTCAACAGCCTACTAGTCATAAAGGTGCAGCAAGAGATTAGTAGCTGGAATGGAGTAGTAGTTTGGGTGGAGGTGAATAGCTTGGTGGTTTATATGCATGATGTTTTCTCACGACCAAAACAACTTCACTCACTAAACCTCATAATGAAACTTAGTTTATGTAGAGCATCTTGTGTTATGTTTTGTCTGTCCTGTGAAGGATATGTCACTTTGAACAGTGATTAAGTTTGCCGCTTGGCATATCCTTGAACTTAAACCTAAACCAATAAACAAAAGTAGTAAACTTATTGTTAACACAGCGTACACTATATGTACCCGATTATATTCCACTTTGTTCTTTCTGTGAACTAAGTGTCACTCCTAAATTATTAAATCGAATGTTTATGAATATTTTCAGTGGATTTAACAACTAGATTCCAATTTAAAAGTGTCTTTTTGAATGCTACTTTAACTATGAACAACCCTGTAGCTAAATATTTCCTTGTCTAAAATTCCAATACGTGCAAGACACCATTACATTTAAAAACGGAAAGCTGTATAGTTTTATAAGAGTAAAATTTTATCATGTTTTGAATTATAATTATTTAATGCGCTTTAAAAATGTGGAAATGAAACTATTTCAAATCTGGATATCTTGGTGGTAAACTGTACAGTTTTGTGAAGTAAAAAAGTCCTTTGTGAAGTAGTCAACTTCACACTCATTTTTTCTCAAAAAGTTGTTTTGATTGAAATTGACAAATGTGTCTCTTCGTGGGGTTAGTGACAAAATGTAAAATTATACAATTAATTTAATTATGATATCTACGTAGGCCTACATCACAAACACCAAGGTTCAGTGGTCTTACATTTTCATGCTTAAATTATTAAACATCACAACAACAAATGTTTTAACCAGCAAACATTTCCTGCAGTATCATACAGGTGATCGCATGTGCTAGTGTTAGTTAATTAGAGATTGCCGTGAGGTCTCAAAATGAGTCTCATCGTTAGAAAATCAAAAAAATAAGTTTATATTATATTTTGGTAGATCACATTATAAGCTTAATTTGATCTTTGAATGGCTTCCCTGGGATAAATAGATCTAGAGATGTTAGCATTTAAAGTTTAGGTATATGAGAACCAAGTTTTGAGAAAATCGGCCTCAAAGATAAATTAACCTGTACAAATAATAGTACTAGAATTACAGAATATGCGCAGAGAACACTATTTTAGTAAGAAAATTCACTTAAAAAGTACACAATCATAAAATATAAGTATCAAGTTATTCAAAAACATTAAAATCTAAATTTTGTAAAAATGTTGATTTTGACCTATTTTGGTGAATATCTCAATATGATTTCACCAACGATGCGTCTCATTTCGTGTTGAGACCTCACGGTGTCGTTCTGTTTACAAATTTGAAATAATGACATATTTTGGGGGTTTTATGTTTCTTTTACTTTAAATGAAACGCCTTAATAATTAATATGTGCAGGTGTATTTTTCTTCTTCTTAAACATATATGCAATGGTATGAAGATATGGATTTAGTGAGGAATTGATAGGGATAATGAATGTCGCAGACCAAACGTAAATTTCATCAGGAAGTTTCCAGGCACCAGCTTCCGATCCAATTCCCATCAAGATAATTGGAAACCAACACATGAAATCTGTTAAGACGATTATTACCATCTTTGTTGCCATCTTGATCTCCTCCGCTCGCCTCTTACCTCTATTTACCGTCGATGCCGTTCGCTTTACGGATATATAAATTGAGATGTAACTCCCTGCAATGACGGTAAAACTGAAGAAGTTGAATGCCAGGAAAATTGTTATAGCATATTGCCAGCCTGGGGATCGGTCAGCTGTTAGCGGTAGTGCCAAACACACACTTTGTCGCCCGTAGTAGTTGTCTTCGAAATACGGTATGTTGACGAAGCTTAGACGGTTGCAAACAGGAAGAATACTGATAGTAATAACAGTCAACCAAACAATACCCATGATTTTAATGCATCTTTTACGATTAAGCCTTTTGGTGCTGAATGGATAGGCAATGGTTACTGCACGGTCAAAACTCATAATCATCAAGATGAAAACCGAACATTCACTGGACAATGTTGAGATAAACCCGGCAAAACTGCAAAGGAAACTGGTTTTCCAAATTGTTGCATACCGTGCGTACCTCCCCCTGTAGTACATATCAGCTCCTGCTATGACTATCATGTAAACCGCCATCAGCAAGTCAGAGACTGCAAGATTAGTGATGAGTATGGATTGGACATTAAAGTCATTTTCAATTACTCGCCGAATGATAACAACTAAGTTGCCAAGGAGGGCGGCTATTCCAATAATCAACATCAAGATCCGCAAAGCTTCCCTCTTCAATAGATCTGTACAAGAGGCAAATAGATCAATGGGCTCGCAGTGATCAATATCACCAACAGTGCAGCAGAGACTAAAATAATCAGAATATCTGTTGAAAATATAATTAAATATATATATATGGAGAAATACTGAAAAACAATGTTAGAAAAACAATGGATTGATCTCAAGTAGAGGTGGTGCTGGTGTTGGTAGTAGTGGTAGTGTTATTGAGAGTTGTAGTAGTGGTAATAGTTGTAGTTATGGAAGTGACAATAGTAGCATGGGGTATAACTAATTCATCCGTTATAGCACTGGTCGTAGTAGTAATAGTAATGAGTAAAAATATTCCTAGTATTATCTGTAGCAACAATAAGAGAGCTATACTAATTGCAGTATCTGTATGATCATTTTTTTTGAAGAATTATAGAAAGGCAACTTACAAAGCTTTAAAATTCTTCGGTTGACGAAAAGTATTCTCTGAGTATTTAGTTAGTTTGTTAGATCGTATATCTCTATAAAATCAATTAAAATAAGATTTTAATAACAATGTCTAGACAGTATATGACAAAAAATAGTTATTGTTGGTTTGAAACGGAAAATGTGTGTATGAAACAGTTGCAATCAATAACCAGTAGTTTGCCGCTATTGATATGTAATCTAAGTACTATGTAAGACAAATTCACTAAAATCATATTTAATTGATAATTGAGTAATCGATTAAAATAAAAAATAAATACATGTATTCAGTTAAAGTGCTTGTACAAACCAGGCACATGTACGGGAATGTATGGTAAATACTAATTTAACAGGAAATTAATGTGAAATAAAAAAAATTATTTTACAAGAAATTGACCATCAAATTGACCATCAATAGTAAAATGACAATTAGTGTGGATTTGGATCAGTTTATTGGAGATCTGTCCATATAATATTGTTTTAATTATTTAACTACATAACAGAGACAAACAGAAAGCGTACAGAGAACACCAGGTCAGTGTGCTAATAATAAGGAGATAAGGAGTTAAGTCTGAGTTGCGGTTTGTGTTATCTGTTGGGCAGTCTAGGATTTGGACTGAATTGGATTCGGTCCGACTTGAATTTGGTACGAGTTGGTTTTAGTCCCGGTGGTCTGCCTATCCAAGTTGTCGGAGTTTGTCGAGTTAGTTGCCCCTTGCACTCCTGTTAACTTACCAAAAATATACATTACCTTTCAATAACGCCCTTGACAATGTTACATTACTAGCATTCCTTTACACAGTGTATTAAAATTATTTAATGATTATTATGATTAGTAACTTACAACACCTGTAGCGAGAACCACATTTCCTGAAAGGCGTTGTCCTTTATTTCAACTAGATTGTTGCTGTGCATGTATCTGATTACAAAATAAAACGACAGTTTAATGTAGCAGACAGAATTTTCTACAACATACTGCTTGCAAAAAAAATTGAAAACCTCAAAAATTAAAATAAAAATTTGTACAGCCCATATTAAAGGATCAAATACGTATTAACTTTCAACCAGAAGCATATCGAAAATAGTTTTCGCTGATTTACAGACATTACTAAAAATCACTTAAATTGATTATCAGTCAATTTAAAGGTATCTACAAAACGAACACAGTAAATATATTATTATTTAACTATTCGGTAATTAAGAAAAACTTAATCATTTCTTTAAATGTTGAAAATAAGTATTTCTAATTTGAAATTGATTTCTTTTAGCCCAGGGCAGAGTGTATATTATTAATTTATTCTCACATAATACATAACAGTAAACATTGTTTACGATTGACAGAAATAGCTCTATTTTTGGTAAGCATTTGCTTGTGGTTAAAAAGTATGGTTTGGGTAGGATATTAGGCGTGGTCTAACAATTCAATTGCAAATAACATCTACTTCTACTAATAACAAAAATAACTCGAGTAAAAATTATTCAAAATGAGAATATAAAATGTGACGTCTTTAAGTACCGTAGCAATTGCGTTATATGATGTCGAAATCAAATTTTAATTTAAGAGGTGATTGCTTCACTTACAGATTTTGAAGAGATTTCAAGCCGTTGAACGCACCTGCAGTTAAGATATTTATTTTGTTACTGCTTAGGTCCCTTAAAAAACAATAAAAGTTAAAACTGTAATTACTGTAGTAAGAACTCCTTTTTCAAATTGTACTCAAATCACAATCATAATCAAAATTAATGATAGTGCTGCATAGGCAAATCTATATATAAAGGATTGTAATTCTGATTTTTTTTTTTTTTTTTTTTTCCTTTTTAGGATTTTTTCTTTTTAGGATTTTTTTCAGCTTTAATCTTGTTAGCACCGTTAAGGTAAAACGCACTGTATTTCATAGCTGCACAGTGTCACTGCATTCGGCTCATAGCGTTCGGGCAAGGTTTTGGTTATAAATCGTAGGTTTCGGCACTTTTCAGTCCTTTAATTAATTGTTTTTCAAATTGATTTTCAATCTTTTAATGGCCCCTTATTATGATTTTTCCCCCGGTTTGTCTCGTTCCACCAGCATCCATTTTGATACAAAATTTTGATATAGAAATGTAAAGTAATCAAAATAACTAAGTTGAATATTAGAGGCGCAAGTCCTGAAAATCATAGACGTGTCTTAAAACTGCTCTCGCTGGCTCTGAGCTCGGAAAAAGTTACTCCCTAATGCTAGTGTTCATTTTTCTCGTTTCAAGCATAAAGGGCTACATTTTCTACATTAAATCGATGATCCCAAAGTTGACCGAGATTAGGGATGTAGCGAGGGAGAGCAAAGATAGCATTATTCAGTGATGGAAAATGACATTTAATTTAAGAGCATACAATTCTAAGAAAATACTGTAATCGGAAAGAAAGTGTAGCGTGCATTTATATCCGAAGTAATATTGCTTTCAATCACCGTACCGATATAGAAGCCGATAGTTCCGAAATTATTTGGACCGAACTCTTTTACCGAAGACGAAACCACACGATTGGAACATGCTACGTGTTATTTCTTATTGTTACCTCAACTTATAAGACCAAAAGACGAATCGAATGACGGCCATTTATATGAACTACAACAAATTTGGCTTTTTTCCGAATGTAGAAAGCGGCATAACACACTACTGTACATAACATCTTTTCTTTTCAACAATAAAAAATACTTAACTTCAGTTTTCAACTCTTCAAGATTCAAGATTCAAAATAACTTTATTGAAAAATTTACAGAATAAATTCAAGGTAATACTATTAAAAATGTTTAAAATATTTAAAATATTCTAGTTAAATTTGTCCAAAAAAAAAATCAAAAACACAAAAGGGAAATACATAACTTGAAAAACAAAAACAATCAAAAGGGCATAAATAAGCACCCCAGTATTCTACTGTCATCATATTCATATATGTATGACTGGTGACTGTCCTTACATAATCCTAATCCGGCTTATGCCGTCCTGTATAATAAGGGAGACATACAAATGAGCAATTATACTGAGTATAAAACTGAACAAAGTCTACAGGGTATTTCTTTTCTTTTTTTGGGTGGGGTAATTCGGGGAGGGAAACTTTGTGATAGAGCTGGTATATCTCAGTCATGACAGATAGTTTGCCATGCGATCATAACGTAAATTTGGCCATTGATAAATTGTCAGAAGAGGTTAACCAAATTAAAACTAAATTGAATTAAATAGCTGCTACTCCTGAACGTACTTAACGTTAACAGTATGGGTCTAAATATGAAAAGGGTGTACCAATCCAACAGGGTAAACCTGTCTATAATAAAATGCAGTCAAATCAGCGACATGCACCATCGCTTCGGAGCGGTAGGATTATTTGTTTACGTTGTGGCATAACTGGTCATAAGCAAATCGAATGTTTTTCTAAATTTCATGCACATGGTTATCCTTTAAACTAATATCCCCACCTTTATCTAACCATTAAATACATTCTGGTAAAGATAGGCCTAAACAGGGAAAATATTAATACTATAGACACTTCTCTAGAAGGTTGTTGTGTAGATGAAATTTTAGGTCATAAACAATTATCGTACTTGATAGATACAGGCGCTACTTTAATTTAATTGGGGAGCATTGTTTTAGGAATTCTCCAGCCTGTAGAGAATTAATAAGCAGAACTGAGTTTGAACAAGCGATTACTGCCAATGGTTCAGGTCTGAAAATAATTGGGTTGTCGCACATTTCATTGATAATTGCCGATAATAAATTTGTCATACCTATAATGTACATTGCACAATTAGATCGGAATTTCATTCTCGGTGCACTGTTTCTAGTTTCTCAGAAAGCCAGTGTTGATTTTGGATCTCGTAAACTTAGACTTCAAAATTCCATGAAACAATGTTTTGATAAGTGTGCAACTGATGTAGAATACCAAGTTGGAGATTCTGTGTTTTTATTCTTTCCGTTAACACTACCTGGTATCTCCAGGAAATTGCAGAAGAGGGTGTAAGCCGTATTTGCTAGTAAAGTGAACTGGACCAGTTAACTTCATGGTTCGAAATTTAGAAAATAATAAACTTTTGCCATCGCCAATACATGTTAATCGGATGAAATTTGCTTACGACAGGTATGTCACTGTGGTTTCTACTAATGCATTACCTTGTTAAGAATGATCGCGCCCCCAATTTTCAATTAAACTTATTTGTTAGCAGACGACGCTATCTTAGAAGCAGACCGAATTCATTTTTCTAGGGCTGCCGCCTGGCGATTTTGTTTTTCCGTACGAAACATTTGCATGAAACTTCACTCGGGCCATCTCGGATTGACTCGACTGAGAAACACGAGGAACAAGATCCGACACTTCGCAATGTCGTGACGCTCGAGTTTATTCTATGACCAAGAAAACATCGCCAATAAAAAATATCACTGTAGAATCACTAGTTTATGATTTATAGTTATACAAAAAAATATAAACGACCATTTTGGTCTTCTAACAAGTTTCTTGGCCCATAAGCATCAGTTTAGAGACAAGAATCGTGACTCCAAGAGAAAATTGCCAGATTTATAGCTATTTTTAAGATATTCGCATCATTTTGGCGGCCATCTTAGAAAAACCATTTTCCGGTGCTCCGATTTTTGCCAACTTTTGATATGTTTTTTCTCTAGACCTCATTCTACAGAAACGTTTTCTTGCAATTTTTTTGGGGTCACATGTCAGATTGACCCTACTATATATTTTTAGTAGTTAGTAGGCCTAGGTAATTATGCAAAACCGAGACCTAACTAAAAAAAAATTGTCACAGTATGTAACTCAAGTTAAAATAACACTTTTCATTACTCGTGCATCTTAATCAAATAATTATTATATGTCATTTTAAACGACCCAATAGTATTAGTATGGTAACATCAATATATTTTTTAAAAAAGGTTTTCAATTTAGACTTTTATCTGTTGATGACCTTTTGACCTCCTGAATACTCCAATATGAGATTTTCAGGTCGATTCAGTCGAGACGGCCCGAGTGGAGTTTCATGTAAATGTTTCGGGGGAAAAAATCGCTGCCAGCTGATATAAGCACGTAGTATTTCGAAGTGTTTACTCAAAATACACTTTAGGCTGGCAATCCTAATGTTATTTAAAATCATTAGAATATGTATATAACTAAAATTATGTACTGTGATTACCAACAAGAAATTATAAAAATGACTTTTAATTGTTTTTTCCTAGGCGAAAAAACGTAAAATATATTGAACAGCGCCACCAATTCGAAAGTACACGAAAACAAGACAAATGCACCACACGTTGTTGATATTTGTTTTAATAAGTTAATATTACGGATATGTAAGAAACAAAATAAGAATACTCAATTGTGCTTTGGTAATTCTAACTTGGTTTTATCAAGGCTCCCCGGGTGGTTTTAGTCTAAAAATAGATTAAACATCACACTTTTTTCGGCAAGTTCTCAAAGCGTGTACTGCGTAGAAATGTCTTACTGCAGGAGAGCGCGTGCCGCGTCCGCGTTGGTAAGTTTGCTAGGCCATGACTAGGCCTAGGTCAGGCCATTATGTACTGTAGTGTAGGCTTATATTTATTATTACTGTGGTAGTATATTTTTTTAGCATCTCTGTTTTATTTTAAAGCCATTTTCAACTTTTACTTGACTTTAGCTTGTGTAACTTTGCATACACATATTTTTGTTCTGAAAAAATGATAATTTTATCAGCGTCCCAGGCGCAAGCCTAGTCTAAACCAAAGAAAAATGCAATGTGAAGCATTACATTCGTTTACAATAGTACTTTATTATCAATGCTACTCTATTATCAATACTGTATTAAAAATGAATGTCACCGATATTTTCAGATATTTAAAAGATTTTTAAAATGCCATTTTGAAATGATAACTTCAAAAAATCAGAATACTGTACATGATTGATATAAA